ATATATAAATACATGAACACTAAACTAAAGTTATTGAACTTCAATGCTAATTTATATTTTAAGAAATGTTTGGCTGAGAACTTAACACCTAAATATGCACTAACAAAAACGAAAGTAAATCCACATAACAGAGCAGATCCAGACTAGGCACTGACCTTAATATAGTTGTATTGTGACGGATTTAATAAAGAAATTATAAACTGTCATAATATTTTTCGCGGTTTCTCTTTGTATGTCCAGGATGTTATCAGAATCGTATCAAATAGATCATGACCGCTCCCTTCCAAATTCTTAATAGCGTTCCATTCAAAATAATTTTTACGTTTTATTCAATTCTCTTTAAACTTGATTTTGTTTGGGATGTGACACCGTTAAAGGGGAGGCAGCATGAATCCCCGAAACGTTTTTACCTATCTGGCAATCTACACGGCAATCATATCTCCGAACACTGCAATATTAACGCTCATCAATATGAGATACCCAAATCTCAAATACATTCAAACACTGCAGTTAAAATATTGCCGTTAAATAACCTAAAACTCGAGCAGTAATATCGGAGTGTATTGCACTACAACCTCGCCTAGCATCCGTCGCCACGCTTAGCATCAGCGCTGGCATCAGCAGGACTGCGTCAATTCAGTTCAGGCAGTTCTTCTCTCTTTATTGTTAACCATTCTCTTCTTACCAGCTGACTCAGCAGTGTTTTCAGCCTTTGTTGTTTCTGTTTTGCCATCCTCTGCCATTAAACTGTGAAGAACGGATAGTACTGTGTTTCAACGAGGATGGTCAAGCCCTCATAACCGCGTTTGTTTACACCCCAAGAAGCGGAATAGTCACGTCTCTTCAACTACAATATCGCCCATTTTCCAGCAGCATCAGCGTCTTAGGAGTGAACGGTTCACATTTCATGCAACGTATCGTAATCTACATGTTTCATTCATATCAGGTTAACGGCTAAAATGACAGGGGATGCGTTTGGTCTTGGATAACCCAGACCAATTTAAAGTAAAGTAAAAGTAAAAGTATCCCTGTAACAGGCCGTGGAGGCGCATAAGGTTGTGAGATGTTGAGGTTCCCTCATTTTCTAGACAATCGGCTCTCAGATGGCGGTGAGGTTGTCAGCCTTACGCGCCAGTCGCCCTTTACCCCTAACAATATTCCAAGAATATTCCTGGTACTCACTTCTGTTAGAGGCTGAGTCGACCCCAGAGACCTATTGAAACAATCACAAATAATTCAAACTACACGTATGGTCTGGTATTATAACTCTAACGTAGGCCGCACACCGACATGCGTCAAGACATTTAACAGTCAAAACACGATGTCTGCGACATGAAATTATGAAAACCGCCGCATATCGGTTTGAGTCATGATGCTGACGAATCACGAATGAAGCAAGACTGCGCCTTTTGTCCCATATCTTGATGCTTGTCTTGACAAAGCTGGTGTGCGGCCGCCCTGATGCAACAAAGATAACGTTAAAGCCCGCCACTGAACATGATCCTAAGACAGAAACATCCATTTCTAAACCAACCTCGATCTTACAAGTGATGGCTTTCTAGGCAGTCTGTAAATTAGGCAGTTAACTTTGGACCCTGGGACTCGAAGTCCCAGTACTCCTACGTGGCAGGTACAGATTATCAAATTAAACACAATGATGATTATTGTACTCTCTCAGTCACTCTTTCTTTCTTTTTTTTTTTTGTAGGATAAGACCCTCAAGATAAGGTCAAATTACATAACTGGGCTGAAGTGTTAACAGACCTGATCTATTTTACTAATAATTTAATTTCATGAAATAGTGTATTTTTTATAAATTCGTATTATTCACTCAGCAGTTACAAAGATCCAAAGCCGAAGGTTCACAACCATGTTCACAAGAGCCCATCATTGGTGCCTACCCTAAGTCAGGAGAATCCAGTCCATACCTCCCATCCTTTTCATAAAGCTCGATTTTAGTATTATCTTCCCATCTGCGTCGAGGCATTGAAAGTAAGAGTTTCCGTCCATTTCATACTCCTGAATTTGACCACACTAACAATATCTGATGCCAGTCACGTTAGCCGAGCGGTATAAGGCATGTACTGTCTTCGCTCTGTTGGAAACCGGGATCGTGGGTTCGAATCCAACTCAAAGCATGGATGTTTAGTTTGTGTGTGTGCGTTTTTCTGTGTTTTTGTAGAGGTAGAAGCCTTGCGACGAGCTGATCACCCGCCCAAGGAGTCCTACCGAATGTGTAAGATCTAGAAAAACCGAAGTGAACGGAGAAGTTCATGGAGGTAGGCCTAGGCCCACTGGGGCTGTAGTGCCAAGAAAAAAAACAATACCTGATGAAGAGTAAATCTATGAGGTACCTCATTAGAGCACTAGTTCCACGTGACTGCTCTTCACAACAGAAAGTTCACCAATATAAGATGGGCAGAAATAATTCCACTCTCAGATCACAAATATTAACGTCAAATTCGACTGCAACCTGCATCACAACATAAAAATACAACCAAGCTGCCAGTGAAATCACATACTGCATCTACATAAACAGGTACACAAACTGAACAAATCTATATCCGTCAAAATAAAATATGAATATTTTATAATTAATTGATTTCTAACAAACGAGTAACGTTACAGAGAACATTTTAACATAAGATATGTCTATGGGTACCAGGCATCTATGTAAACAAATAACTCGTAATACAGTTTATCAAATATATACACTGGCCAGTCTATAGAAGAGCAGTCACGCTAACAGTGAAATTGCAGTACCTAACGATGGCCAAAAGGCTGCAACTTGTAGTAAATATTTAACGTATAATATACCTACACAAAAAGTTGTGATGATAGAAATCTATAAAATTCTCATTACGACAAGTCTGAAGAATTCCAGACTGCAAATATTATTGTATCTTCAGAGGTAGTTACCTAGCAAACTGGTGTATCGGCAACCTCCTATCCGGTTTGAATGTCGACTGTCACACATGCTCTCCTGAAGTGTTTCATCAGTGTACTTAGTCCCTACAGCTGAATTCTCGGATAGCATCACGACACAGTTCATTTCCGTTTTACTACTTCTTCCCACTGGGCGACTTCTCACCCACTCAGTCCTATGTATTTAGGAATCCATAAAGGCTCGGAAATCTGTTTACTTTCTGTCTGATTTTGCCAACTCAATATACCAACGTGAAATTATTTCAGAAGCGGGTCTCTCTTTTAAGAAATAAACAAAAATAATATCAATAATTATCCATGTATGTAGGACCTACATTCAATTATAGATATTATATAATCTGTATATTGCAGTGCTTCAACCTGAATTAGGCGACGTTTCAGAGTACATGATTGCGATAACTAATACACCCAAATAAAAGGCAACAGGCCTCTCTTTACACTAAATATTCACTTATTACTTTACAATATTCTGAGTCAACAAGTGAATCACGTGTATATAAACTCCGTTTCTTCGCCATAAAACAGTACTTTACGACTTCCATCATGGCTGCCAGTACCAAACTCAACAACGTTTATGTTCTGCGTTCAGTTTTGTCATGTCTCCTTTTGTTTTGGCACTGGCTGAAGAACGAAACGGCATGTCTATTAAAATACTGTGACTGCTCAAATTCAGTTCGAATGGCAAACGGAAAAAGTCGACGTTCCGTGAATCCCTGAAAATTTGGCAAAGAAGAGCGGGGGGGGGCTATGAGAAAGCGTCTTTGTCAAATCCGTGAGACTGTTCAGGGGTATGAAATCAGTTATCAATCGTACACTTGTTCTACAGGGCCTCAGTGGCGTCCCAATAAGATTGTACATCGCACAGTGAAAGGTCAGATGTCTGTAGAATCTAAAATTCATTTCTGGGGGCTTTTTGAAAAACAAATTCACAAAAACTAAACGAGCGCTGAGGTTCTCATAGCGGTAATAGTTAAGAATAGTCCTTCGGTCTTCTAGGATGTGACGCCGTGTAGTTCGATACATAAAATAATATTGTGTGGGCACTTTGTGATCACGGCATGGCGCGTCTCAGGCTGCGGAGAGAGGAGACGGCCTCCAGGTAGAAGGGGGGGGGGCTGTGAATATATTGAATAAGCAGTCGTGGACAGCCGACAAGAGCTGATCCTCCAGCTTGAGGGTTTGGCGTAGGGATAACAATTCCTCTCCGTAAAAATTAAGCTTGTTACGAAAAATCATAAGAAGCCTCGGCCCTGGTTAGATTCCTTGGATAAACGACCTAAGCTAAAGAAAATTGATATCAGATTTGGTACTTTGAATGTTAGAAGTTTGTATAGGCCAGGTTCACTCAGGGCAGTGGCGAAAGAAATCTCAGGATACAAGTTAGATTTAGTGGGAGTACAGGAGTTCAGATGGGGCGGAGGTGGCACTGAATCAGCAGGCGAATATACATTTTTCTATGGAAAGGGGAGTGAAAATCGTGAAGAAGATACAGACATTTTCGTACATAAGAGAATCATATCAGCAGTCAAGATGGTGGAGTTTAATAGTATTAGGATGTCATACTTAATATTATGAGGTCACTGATATGATATCATCGTTCTGAATGTTCATGCCCCAACGGAAGATAAAATTGATCACATGAAAGAAGGATTGTCACTTTTTGGAGACGAACCGACTTCTCGCCGCTGTGGTTTCACCACAGACGTATATAACCAGTAATGAAAAACTTTGTATTTTTACAATGAGCCACTATTTCACTTAAATACTCGGTCTTACTGTGTTCTGAAGATTGCGTAAGTACAGTTAGAATTAAAAACAAATAGCTCTTTTGACTGTGTTAACAATGTTCCTATGGACACAGAGGTCGTGATAGGTATGCTCAGTGAGTCTGTTGAAGTTCTCCTCCCGAAAAGAGAACGTTTGCGTTTGGAGGTGTTAGTTGTAGCAAGAGAGCGCTCTTGTACCCCCCCCTCCCGCAAAAAAAACCCATCTGTCCGCCACAAGCCGAAATCGTGCAAATGTCACGAAATTTCCTGTTTTTTCGAGGTACTCACTGGTCGGTATCAGGGAAGTCCTTGCTGCAGAGGGCGCACCGGGTGTCCTCCGCATCCTCCTCCCCTTCGTCCCGCTCGTCGTCGACTGTCCCCGAATGCTGGGACTCTGAAACAGAAGCAACACTCTGTGAATTCGCTCAACCCAATGGCACGTTTTGACACTCATGAAAAGTTGTTGAATTACAGTCAAAGTACAGGGTGGATAATTTTCAGTCCAGTGTGACATACAAGTTTACAACACTTGTATGTCACACTGGACTGAAAATTATCCACTCTGTAATTAGTCGTGTGACGGACCAAAATGAGACAAATCAAATTAAAGTCAAAGTGACTTGCTTTTATGGGAAACAGGTGCAATGAACCTGAAAGAAAAGTTCATGATAATCACGAAACTATCGTTATGAAATCTGTTAATTACTTGTATACAGATGTTTTCAGTACTGTGAATAAGATACTTGTAATTTACAGGATATCAAACTAGGCTCTTACGTGTACCATGAAGTCAATAGCTTATTTTAAAATTATTTTTTCTGTCTCAGTTATGCGTAGCCATGTGCTGTACATCATACCTAAAAGGCTACAGATTAGTTCGATTGGAGGATACCATGGCGGTGACTATGAAGTGTGCTTATTGAGTTGCAAACCGAATGACCGTGATCTTCAACAAAACCTCAATACAAGATAATACTGTGGCATGCAGAACCGTTACTAGGCAACGACCGCGAAATAAGCAGCTATACACCAGCCGTTGCTAGCTAATGGCCGTAACAGATATGGACGCAAAGATATAAGGACTGTTCGAAGCGGTGTTTTCTTTGCTGTCCGTTTGGAGGCTATGTAACAAGGAGCAGCTGCCATTAGAAGGGAGTTTTGAGGCGGCAGGGAAGAGAAGGGTAGGAGGTTCGTGTGAGCAGTGGCTGCTCTCTGTATTCGCAACGCAATTCAACTGCCCTGAAGATGGAGGCGATATGTTCCTCCGAAACGTCGGTTAAAACCAAGAATACACGGCGCCAGATCCCAGAAGACGACTTTCTTCATAGTCATCGCCGTGAAAACCTCAAAACTTACATGTCCTACAAAAGTTCGGTGTTGTTTGTGGTTTTATTTCGTTCACGAATGAACAAGTTTATATCAAATTAAGTCGTAAAGAAAGTATCTAAGCACGACTCAGGCATATAAGTACAACTCGGTGCGACGAGGCGAGGTTCGTTTCAAAATGGCCTACTGTCTTCTTAATACGTATCTGTCTAATATTGGAAAAGTAATACACAGCAACACTTCTTGTTAATAATATATATCGATACACGCAGTTTTTTCCTCCAACCCATTGTATGGGTGTGGTGATTTATTTTTCGAAACGACTCTCTTACCCCTTAGCCCATCGTCCCACCACCATCACTCTACACCCCCTTCCCCCCACCTCAGCCACCCCAATTCGTTGTCATCTAATTCAAAGTTCACGCTCCCAGAACGACGTCTTATGAATTTTTCAGTACTGGAGTACAGCACAATGCATAACTTCCGCAACTTCCATGTGTCTATATGGACTAGCCAGAAGTGAAACTGTTATCTAATGATTTTTTCCCTTGGCACTACAGCCCCAGTGGGCCTAGGCCTACCTCCATGAACTTCTCCGTTCACTTCGGTTTTTCTAGATCTTACATATTCGGTAGGACTCCTTGGGCGGGTGATCAGCTCGTCGCAAGACCTCTACCTATACACAAACACAAACTATACAGCCATACCCTGAGTGGGATTTGAACCCACGATCCCGGCTTCTAAGCGAGCGAAGACAGTACATGCCTTAGACCGCTCGGCTACCGTGACCGGCATCTAATGATTTTAACGATTCCAATTTTATTATCTGGATCGAGTGAGTCCATGTTAGGTGGACCCCTTGTCACCACAGCATGGTACGTCCTCAGGTTGCGGATGCAGGAGACGCCCTCCAGGTATGAAGGGTAGTTGCGAATATATTGAATAAGCAATCGACAAGGAGTGGTCCTCCAGCTTGGGGGTTGGGCGTGGAACTAAAAACTCCTCACCGCAAATAATAAACTTGTTACGAAAATATACACAAAGCATCGGACCTGGACGGATTCTCTGGATGAACGACATAGGCTAAAGAAAATGGAAATGAGATTCTGTACTTGGAATGTTAGAAGTATGTACTAAAATGGATCTCAGAGAGATAGGATGGGATGGTATGGATTGAATTTATCTGGCCCAGGATAGAGACTAGTGGAGGACTCTTCTGAACACGGTACTGAACCTTCGGGTTCCATAAAATGCGGGGAAGTTCTTGGGTAGCTGCACAATTGGAGGCTCCTCCAGAAGGGCTCAGATTCATGAGTGAGTGAGGATCGAGTGAGTAGCAATTCTGCTTCGAATTCTGGGGTTCCAGCGTGGACCAGCTGTCCTCATCAAGCGTCTCTTGGCTTTCTTCAGCCCCTTCAGGAAAATAGGGGACCGGTACCTCAAATAGGCCACGACTACTTTCTTTCATATTGTGACGAATAGACCCATTTCTAGGCAAAGCCCGAAATACGCGCAAGCAACAATAGAACCAGTGTCACAAGAGGTGTTTTCTATGTGGTTCGCATATATCCATTGTTAGGTAAAGGACCAATAAACACGCATTCTTGACAACAGAAGACGGTGTTTTCCATGGTCCGTACAGAGGAGTTATCTTGAAGACATTCGACGCTACGAGCAGTTGAAAGTTGAGGATTCGGTTCTGGATTGTTAAACAGAGATTAACGGAAGCTAAAGATTCGTTACCAGGAAAAGTCTAGTGAAAGTGGACTGAGAAGACAGTGTGGAATGATTTGAATTGTTGAAATCAGTAATAATGTTATAGCTATTTGTAGTTACGGCTTGTGAGTGGTCAGTAAATCTATTCACCAATTCAAACCACGTCTATAATGACTAATACACGTGAAAATATAATTTCCAATTTATTATCCACTAATATTCCTACAATCTGACGCTATATAATTTGCGTCGACACATAACCACAGATACATAAACTCAGTTTCACTGAATGTTACAAGCCTGGATATATTCACTCAGTAAACAAACTGAATACACGATGAAGAGGACACGCGGTTGTGTGGTTGGTTGAGGCACTATGCTAAAGCCAGAAGGTCTGAGTTCGATTCACGATGTCATTGGGTTTCTCAATTGATCTAATCCTTCCACACACACTGTGGTCCTGATGTCGACGCAGCCTGTAAGGGAAATGAGTCCTGGAATCTTCCTTGGAGTAAAGGGCGGCCGGTCCGCGAGGCTGACAACCTTATCGCCATCTGTGAGCCTACTGTCTAGAGAAAATTTGGGAGCCTCGACGTGTCATAACCTTATGGACGTCCACGACCTGTTACAGGAATAGCTTTATGTAGTAAAAGGCCTATAGTGAATGTCTGACGTGGACGGGGTTTTCCTGTCAGATTTAGTCATGGAGGGTGACTGCAGTGTAAAAAAAAAACAGAGTAAGAAGGTTACTGTTCTGGGATATGATGCCGTGTAGCATTGCTGATAGGTACCAACATTTCATCGTAAGAGGAACCTGGTGCGTCCGTCTTCAGGGTAGAAGCTCTACATCGTCATAACCAAGATAACCGTAATCAACAGTTACCATGTCCAGACTAGTCCTGTTCCATACCAAACTGATGGGTTGCAGGGTCTCGTTGTGCATTGTAAAGTGGCAGAAGTGTGTGGCTGGTGCCTTGGTCTATACAATGCACCTTCTCGACCCTTAACAATAATTTCGCTTACAATTCTCAATTTGCTGTAATGTACAGACAAAATTGCTCTTCGTTTCAAGGCCAGGTTTTAAGTGAAAGGAATACTTGCTTACCCTTTCGTTACATTGAATATTCACGTTCCTGGTTATATTCATCCGCCTTAAGAGCTAGTGGCCAAAAGAAATCTTCCTATTCTCGTGAAGGAACGGATTTGACTCCCAAGTTGGGCAGGCCTTGATCATATCATCTGGCAGTAGTTTGATAAGAAACTTCACTCAAAAAGCGCATAAGTCATTATACTGTGACGTGCCGCCAGGAAGCCGGAATGGTTGAGTGAGATCAGGGTTGATTTCCTAGGCAACGACCAATGTTCCCGCGACAAAGGCTAGGAATCAGAACGTATCCATTGCTACACAACAGCTAGCAATATCAAAGCAACGAATTGTCTGAAGCAGCATTTGCATAGCAGCGAGCGAAATTAACCCTTCGACAAGGTGTTCCCTATTCAGTCCGAGTGCAGGATATAAGAGTCCAACTTGGAGACGAGTCAGTTGTATTCCACTTTAGCAGGAGTGAGTTCGTATCCGACACGGGACCAAGGACAGTTGAGCTCCGAGCAGAGCAGAAAACACTTCACCAAGATCAGCGGTGCAAGTAACTGTAACGGTGAAGAGGAAAGGTCTGACATTATAATTTGAGAATAATTATATTTGTCAGTGTAAAAAGCGATAGTCAAATAAACGACTTTCCCAAATCCGAAATTTGTCGCGTTACCTAGCAACACGCGACAATATACTTGTTCTCTAAATCTTATTAACAAAAGAAGGAAAATCGTAAAGAGATGGTAGGGATGTGGAGATAAAAACATTGTAATTCAAGAACAAATGAAAGTAAAATATGAAATGTTTCTAATATAAAATTAAGAAGAAAACGCCGAATAGGGAAGACGAAATCAATATGGGATCATCAGGTTCAGAAAGATATAATGCAGAAGGAAGGAAGAACATATGAGGAAACTGAGAGGGGGTGGTATTTTTTGGGAAGACATAGATGGCTAAAGAGGAATGGTTCCTAGACGACCAGCATAAAAGTGTAAATATCAAAGTAACAATAAAATATATATGTACTCGTATATACGGTCGCCCTACAAAGCCATTATGAAACTTGTTTAGTATGTGTATTTTATTTTGTATTTTTTCCTTTATGTAATATCCTACACGAAATAATAAAACGGAAGGCTAATTGGATTGGTCATGTTTTACTCAGAAACTGCCTTATAAAAGAAGTTATTGAAGGAAAGATAGAGGGGCGGATAGAAGCGACAAGAAGACGAGGAAGAAGACGTAAGAAGATGCTGGAT